GCCTCGGAGGCTGCACGGAACGGGACAGCCTCTTTCCTAAGCACATGGACGAACCGCTACCCTGCGGTTATGCCGCCAGGTCGGCCCCACACGGACAGGTTGACCGCCGTTCCCCAGCAACTGGGCAAGGGCTGGTTTGGGAATGGGAAGGGTTCGTTTGAAGCGGGCTCGCCTAGGCAGCCCGTGTCAGAACGGCAGTTCCCGGAGCCGTGCCTGCGGTGGAACCGTGCCCGGGGGGGCTGCTCCACTGCCGGCTCTTCTCCTCGTCCCGCGGGAGGGGCTGCTGCTGCCCCTGGAAGCAGCGATCTGAGAAGGGATCTGAACAGAACAAATGCAAAGAGCGCGTCTCAGGTCTCACCGGGCTTTTAGGTTGGGTCGCTTCTGCCGAGGAAAAAATATAGTCTGAGAGCACAGAGAAATGAAGTTGGGTTAATCTGCAAAGATTCAGGCTGAACACAACATCCATGAGAAAACGCCGAGTTACGAACCGGCGAAGTGAGGCAAGGCAGAGAGTGACTTTCAGATTCTGGGCAGAACTGGAGGGCAGGAACGGGGCTTTTAATCGAGTAAGGCGGGCTTAATCAGTAAAAGATGAAGAAAATGGTTTGGAAATGCAATGGTTTGGAAATGGACCATGATGAGAGAGACCCGAAAGCCGGTTTCCCTCGTGCTGGCAGTTCGGAGGAAGCTCCCCGGGACGCGAGGCTCAAGAGCTGCAGCCGTCGGGAGCGCTCCCTGATTTCCCAGAGGCAAAGCGAACGCTTCAGACAATAACCTGGAACTTTTTTATTCCACAGCACGCTCGTCCTCTCGAAACTTGCCTTTCCGACACTGCAGTCCCGACAGCTCATCCTTCTCCTTCCCCTTTGGTTGTGCTTTTCCTTCGACTGCCATCGGTCAGGGGTAACACCATTGAATACAGCATACTTAGGGAAGGGATTTAGATCAGTTTTTCCCTTCACCCCCCTGTCAGAGATTTTAGATAGACATTGGATTTTTTTAGTTTTGTTTCCGCTCCCGATTGCTGTTCCCACCCACGGCGCCTGTCCGGGGAGGCCACAGCCGGAGCGCTCCGCTTCCCCAGAGCCGGGCAGCTGCCGCCTGTGCCCCGTCGGGCCTGGCATCACGGGTCGGTGCCGAGCGGGATGCGGGGTTCGCATCGCAGAGCTCCTTCGGCTTTTTTATTTACTGGGCCAAAAATAGCCGGAGCAATCATGCTAACGCCGGCACCTCCTATAGCATCCCCCCTAACTGGGCTTTGACAGCTGCCTGTGCTGGGCAGGAATCCTCTCAACTCTAGAGGCAGCGACGAGAGCACGTTTCCCTGTTTCTCGCTGCCCGCTGCAGCACGGTCCGGAGGATGCGTGTGAAACTGTAGCGCCGGCCACTGATTTCTTCTCAAAGGACGGCCCGCACGGCAGTTCAGGCAGTGGCCCGCCCCAGGCGCTGCTCCCCGCGGGCTGCAAGCGTCGGTACCGGTAACCGATATTAACGATTTGGAGAGCAGCGCGTGGGTTTTCTGCGCGCTTCTCTCGGTTTGTGCTGGGCTTCCCACAGCCTCTTAAACTCAATGAACAGAATGTCCAGAAATTACCCCGAAAGGTTCCCGAGGCCACCTTAGCGCCCGCCCCTCGAGTGCCCCGGGGCGGGGAGAGGCCTCCACCTCTCTCCCTTCCCGGCGCTGCGGAGCCGCCCAGGGAGGCAGCTGAGGCTGTGAGAAGCGGGAGCGGGTGAAAAGGGGCTGCGGGGGGCGGGCGGGGGGAGCCCACGGCCCGAGCCGCCCCTCCCAGCCCCGTGTTGTGAAAGCGGATCTCGCTCTCGCGTGGCGTTTCCTCGCCCCCCCGCGCCCCGCTGAGGAAGTGTGAGAGGGGACCGGGGAGCCTCTTCCCGCTCCCGTTCCGCCAGACGCCAAGTCCCTGAGCCGCTGTCATGTGATAGCGAGAGAGCAGGAGCCGCGGGGGTCTCCCGGCTCGGGCAGCATTACAAAACCGCGCTCCGCGCGCAGCCCCGACACAGCCGCGGCCGCTGCCGCCTCGCTCTCCTCTCTCCCGCCGCCGCCAACGCTCGCCTCCGCCACAAACTTTTTCTGGGGACGCCGGACTGAGCGGTGAGAGGGGCGTTCCGAGTTCCTTCCTCCCGTCTCTGCAGAGATCCGGGGTCATTTCTTGCTCCCCAGCCCCCGGTGCGTGCGGAGCAACAACTCCAGCGGAGAGTGCGAGGGGGCAGCGGGGACGCCCGAGCGAGCCGGCGGCCTCCCGGAGCAGAAGGGGGACACCCGCAAGGGCCAGGAGCAGCCCCAGCCCCGCGCCCCACCGGCCCGGCGGCCCGGGAACGGGGCGAGGCCGCCCGGGGGAGCTGAGCGCTGAGCTCGCGGAGCGGCCGCTGTCGCACGCGGTCCGTGCGGGCGGCGCCCACGATGTAGAGGCGGCGGCGGGGCAGGGCAGCGCCGGACGCAGCGTCCCCATCCCGCCGCGCGGCGCCGGGGCCAGCGGCCGGGAAAGAGCGGCGGCGGGGCGGCGATGCCCAGGCCGGGGAAGAGCTCGTATAGCGACCAGAAGCCGCCTTACTCCTACATCTCGCTGACGGCCATGGCCATCCAGCACTCGGCCGAAAAGATGCTGCCCCTGAGCGACATCTACAAGTTCATCATGGAGCGCTTCCCCTACTACCGGGAGCACACGCAGCGGTGGCAGAACTCGCTCCGCCACAACCTCTCCTTCAACGACTGCTTCATCAAGATCCCGCGCCGCCCCGACCAGCCGGGCAAGGGCAGCTTCTGGGCGCTGCACCCCGACTGCGGGGACATGTTCGAGAACGGCAGCTTCCTCCGCCGCCGCAAGCGCTTCAAGGTCCTGCGGCCCGAGCACCACCTGCCCGGCGGCGGCGGCGGCGGCGGAGGCGGCGGCGGAGCGGGCGGCGCGGCGAGCGGAGGCCCCGGGAAGCCGCCGGCGCCCGGGGGCCCGCACATGGCTCACTACTTCCATCCGCACCCGCCGCCGCCGCCGCCGCCCCCGGGCAAGGTGCCGGGGCTGGCGGGCCCCGAGGCGGCCGTGGCCGCCGCCGCCGCCGCCGCCGCCGTGGGGAGGCTGCCGCAGTTCTCGCCCTACGGCGGCAGCCAGCCCTCGGGCTTCAAGCATCCCTTCGCCATCGAGAACATCATCGGCAGAGATTACAAGGGAGTGCTTCAGGCCGGCGGGCTGCCGTTGGCCTCGGTGATGCACCACCTGGGCTATCCGGTGCCCAGCGGCGTGGTCGGCTCCGTGTGGCCCCACGTCGGGGTGATGGACCCCGTGTCCGGCGTGCCCGTGTCCCCCGACTACGGACCCTTCGGGGTGCCCGTGAAGGCGCTCTGCCATCCGCCGGCGCAGACCATGCCCGCCGTGCCCGTGCCCATCAAGCCGGCTCCCGCCATGCCTGCGCTGACGGTCGCCGCCTCGCAGCTCTGCCCCGCCGCCTCCCCGGCCTCCGCCGCGCTCCTGGAGCAGGCGGCGGGCGCCGCCCCTGAGGGCAAGGGCTCTCTGCACTCCGTCCTGGTGCACTCCTAAGGGCCGGGGCCGGGGGCACGTCGGCTCCCGGGACGGAGACGCGGGGAACACGCGGGACCCGGTGCCCGCGCCCTGCGGTGTCTGTGTTTGTGTTGTGTGCAATCAGACTTTATATGAGCCAGGTCGCAGGTAAGAGCTTTTATCGTCGTTACGTATCGTTAGTGACGGAGAGGTGATGCGGAAGGTCAGGGTCGGGCCGCGCAGGAAGGATTCGGGGCGGCCGGGGCTCCTGTCGGAGTTTCCCCCACGAACTCTGGGCAGCGGGGCCGGAGTTTGCCGGGCAGCGGGGCGGGAGCAGCGGACGGGCGAAGCCGCCCCTGCGCTCTGTCCTTCCCCGCTTTGCCCCCAGCTCTGCCCCCAGCAGCGTCCGCTCCGCGAGGTGGGGGTCCCGTTCCGAGGGAGGCGGCCGACACGCGGGTATCGCCGCGGAGCCGCGGGGAGCGAAGTGCTCTCCGTTTGACGAGTGAGCTCTGAGCTGCTCGATTAATTAGTGGGGATTTAAATGACAACGGCGCTGACGTCGGAGGGCCCCTTTAGCTATCGGCTGCTCGTTCTTCCCCTCACGCTTCCACACTCCATCTCAGTGAGGTCCGTTCCCGGGGAGGGACGGCAGTGCGACCTCCCGGGCCGTACCCGATCCTCCTTAGAATGAAACCAGCCCCACCATTCGCGGCTCGCGCGTGCTTGTCGCATCGCCCCTCGCCGCTCACGGACACCGCTGTTCCGTGTGTGTCGCTTGGCCTTTCCTCCACGTGAGCGTGAACGCTAAAACCTGTTGGGTGGGAAAAAAATAATAATAATAAAGAGAAAATAATTAAAAATTCTTCGGAAAAAGCACTTTAGTGAAAACAATCTTCCGACAGAGGCGAGGTCTGTGCCGAGCAGGGGGTCGAAAGCCGGAGAGCGGCTGATGAGTGCCGGCTGCTTTGGTAGCGACTGCTGCCCTCCTTGCTGTACCCCAGCGCTCCCCCAGCACACCTATCCATTTGCTTCTGCTGATGCTGTTCTCCGCAGCGTTCGCCTTTTACGCCTGGTCTGGCGCTCCTTTCGCCCCAGACAGATTAGACGACCCAAAAGTTTCCTCGGCGATAGACACGGAAGAGAATAGACGGAACCCCCTCAGAGCCCGCGGCTTTCTCCGGGCTTGGGTCGCAGTCGCTGCCCAGGACGTCCCCGCCTCATGCGCGGCAGCGGCCGTGCCCCTGTGTGGCAGTTCCCTCCCCCGCGTTGGGCTCATTCTTCCCGGTTCCCAGCGCAGGAACTCAGTGGGGAAAGCAGTGGGGTCCCTGAGAGCCCCGCGCTCAGTGCTGGCTCCCGACGTTCCGCGGGGATCGCAGGGTGCCGATGGGAGCCGCTCATAATCATCCCCGGCGCTGGAAAGCACCGCTGGTGATGCAGCTGCAGTTTATCGAGGCAGTGCTGCGCGTTCATGCTGTTAACGAGACACGGGTCAGTACGGCTTTTCGGAAGTTAGGCTGTCAGGGCAATTGCCGCAGAAGTTTTGCAGCCAGATAAACCGGGCAAAAGAAATTATGAAGGAAAAAAAAAAAATATATATATATATATAAAGTGTTCCACGTTTTCTTTACCCCGCTGTCTTCCATTTTAGGCAAGAAAAACCGAGATGGTATTTCTGCTGCTAAAAAGTCGTTGCTTATAAAGAAAACAGTCTCCCAAATAACTCGCGAATTGCACTAATTTTGCACGGCTCGGTACGTTTAGGTATGTCCCATCGCCCTCGCTACCTCTAGGAAGAAAGATTTCCCCTGAGAAAGGTGTCAAGGGCGAGAGAGATGGGAAACCCGGAGCGCGAGTCGCAGCGATCCCCCCCAGGAACAAGCGAGATGCTTCTGGAGAGCCGGGAAGATTCTGGGCAGTGTGCTAAAGTGAATAGGGGAAAACTTAGCTGCAGAAGAATGATCCGGGAAGCGGCGGGCGGGCAGCGGGACCCCGTGGGGCACCCCGGGGAGAGCGGGCGGAGGCGGGGGTCCGGCGGAGGGCGGGGGTAACGGGGGCCGCTGCGCGGAGCGATGCGCCGAGCCACACTGCCCGTCCGAACGGGTTTCTCGTGCAGGCGGCAGCAGATGGGAAGCGGGAGGTGAGTCTAAATAGTCTATACATTATCTCTTGTTTTTAAGAGCCCCGACTCCAAGCGTAGACTTTGTATTGTTACGACATTGAATATCGACGACCGGTGTTCCTAAAATGCAAACAAAACCGACCCCAGTGCTGTTCAAAAACAGATGAGAGTATAAAGTCTAGGAAAATAAAATAGCACTCTTTCCTCCAGACAAAACAAAACAAAATAAAACAGGTGTAATCTGGAGTAGGGTGAGATTTTTACTTGACAAGAAAACAGACCCACAGACTTCTGCCTGTCTGCTATCTCAATACATGCAGAAACGACTTGCCTTCAGAGTAAAGCACATCTTGCTCTGTACAGAAAAGGCATCCAAGCCTTGGGTGGGAGCAGACGGGTTGGCTGTAACCCGAAGAAGCAGATGCAGGAAAGACAAGCAAGCTTAGTCCTGGTGCCATTAGACTGCTAAAGGTAGCTGAGAAATTGTTAGAAGAATAGTGGCCTAAGAAAAGAAATTAATTCTCCTCCCCCTATTTCTGACTCATTGTGGCTAGCTAAAACAATGAAGAGTATTTCAATTTATGAGAGACTGTTCCTATATAGTATACCTAACAAGGCACTATATTATCAGTCCATAAGACACACATCTCAAGAACAGCCAAGCAAAGGCAGTAAGACTTCTAGAATGGAAGTGTTTTATGGTCTGATATATGGTGGTCTCTTTGTTCAGTGAATTCTGAGCTCAGTGACACCTGTCGCAATGTAACTACCAATATTTTCTGAGGAATTCTAGGCTCTGTTGATTGAGTCCTGAAGTCTTTTGTGCCAGAAATTGATCTGGGAAGTCTGCTGGTGTTTGCGGGATCTGGCTTTTCCTTTTGGCTGTTTTAAGATACACTTATTCCTGTAAGTGCTTAAAATTTGTAAGAATCTCACTTTTGAAAAGCAATCTTCCACCTCTGCTTCTGGACATCCTGGAAATATTCAAGTTTTCTGAACACACGGTAAGCTTAACCAGCTTTAGTTAGATTAACTACGTATAATTTTAGACTTTTATATGCTAAATACCAAATCTTAACTGCCTAAAGCTCTACCCTGAATATATGTTATTAATCTGTGGTCCTCCTTTTTCTCTGGTACAACATGGTCACTGTTGCTACCCATGCAAGAAGGCCAAATTATTAGAGCACTTCTCAGGCCTTCCAAAGGAAGTTCAAGACCTCTTCAGTACAAAAAGATTCACATCTGCCTACCAGTACCAATCAAATATAGGATGGCAGATGGAGTCATGCCATCACTTAAGAATAAATGTAATCTCACTGAAATGCCAAGTAAGATGCAGGGTCTTTTCCACAAAGGCAGAGTCCAACAGCCATTGGGGAAAGTACATGGTGGCTGGGGATGAGAAAGTAAGGATTGGAAAAAGTGGCAAGTTTTCACAGTGGAGTACCACATGAATTGGTGTTGAGTGTTCCAAAAACTCGTAGTTGTAAGCAGAAGATGTGGTAAAGATAGAGAAATTTTTAATGATCTTAAGTCATCCAGACCAACAGAAAAGGGGAGCTGGCAAATTTGGAGCTGCAGAAAGACCTCTACACTGAGTTGCAGAATGGTGAATGGAAGGTGAAACTCATTCTTGATATATGCAAACTGATACGCATGGGGATTTATGTACATAAAAATAGGTCCTGAAATTAGGATTCTTATGATGTTGTGGTTGAAGTCTCTAAGAAAATATTGTCTCAATAGTTGCTAGATGTAGAGAAAAAAGTAAAAAAGTCATGAGGTAGAACATAACAGAAAATATCACGTTCCTGTTTAAATCCTAAGTAAAGTTGAATGCATTATGGAGTTTGTGATTTCCTCCACCTAACAGCAGATAGATAGCTGTCAGAAGACAGAATCGGAGGAGAGAATCAAAAGTATCTTCTGTACAAGTAGAATTCAACAGGCTAAGGGTCTTCAGAATGGAAGGAGAGGGTGTACAGTCATATATACATTTAGTTGGATGCGATGATCCTTTCTGGATCCCTTCCAACTGGGGATATTCTATGATTTTGTGATTTGAGTATCTGTGTCCTGGTAACGTAACACTGGTCATGTCTGTGCTATGCATGTCTGAGGCATCCATGTTAATGTACTGCTTTAATCTTATATCTCCTCTGCTTGCAGAGTTAGTGAAAAAAAAAAAAAAAAAGCTGTTTGCTTTGAGGAGAAAATGTTCAAGTTATGATACATGATAGATGACAGGACTCTAATGTTGAGCTTCACAGAGCTTTAAAATGTAGGTTTAATGCTTTTTATATCCACAATGCAGTGCAGTTTTGTAATATTTCTCTGGACTTTTATGAATGCTTAATCTATGCTGGGAGAGGCACTCATTTTCAGTGAGGAATAACACCACGTTTTTACAGCAAAGCATCTGGGGGAAAGGTGTCAGACTGCACTCCATGGTACTTTTGTTATATTATGCATAAAGATAACTATTGCATGGTAGACAATGACAGACTTTGGAACAACCACAGGGACCAAGAACTGAACTGAAAGCAGACAATTAAAAAAGCAGAAAAAAATGATATCCTTTTTCCATTAATCACAGCCCCCTGATGTCAAGAAAAGGTAGCCTTTTTGGTCAAACACCAGTGCTAACCAGTGAATAAATTATTTGTCAAACAGTCCTTTTACTGATGAAGGTTGCTCATTTTTATTTACTGTCAGTCTTCACACTAACAAAAAAATCTTTCCTAACTGTACATAACACACAGCAAACTCCCAGTGTGGATCAGGCCTTTCTTTCATCATAATAATCCAAAGCTCAATCAATGTTTAATTCTGGACAAAAGTGCAGGAAGAAAGTAGAAAAATGTATTTTTTATGTATTAAAATATTTGCTTGCACCATAGATCTGTGACTGGAAAATGATTATTTCCTGGGAAAAATGTAAGAGAATTTAGTAACGTGATTGTAGTCTGCACTTGTGTTTTATTATTAACCTATTGCTTTATGTAGAATGTGTGATTTGGGTTTCAACCCTTTCTAAGACTTGAAATTTAAGTTTTCTTAACCCTTGTGGTCTTTTTACTGTTGCTGTTATGAATTCAAACTATAAAAAAATCTGAAAATTATTGTGATACTTCCTATGATTAATAAAATGTCTATCTGCAACCATCAAGTGTTTACATGTTGTTTACTTAATTGATTTTTATTGACTTCTTATGAAAATAATTCCTGGTACCCTTGAGCCTGAAAGAAAATACATGGCACATTGTTGGTAGGTTACCATAGAATACATATATTTTTTTTTGGACTTGGATGGGGTTATCAGGATGAGGCCTGGAAAGTGAAACAATGCATGGTTTCTTCTTCAAGTGTTTGCAGAAAAGATAATGACCAAAAACAAACAAACAAACAAAAAAATAACCAAGAAGAACAGGGGATACGTCTTCAAAATGAAGGTAAACAAGTTAAGTTACACCAGTGAAACAGAAACAAGATGAATTAACTGAGGTCCTTACAGAACCTCTGTTATCTTCACTGTTATCTGTCATACACTAATTAAAAACTGAAGAAGCTGTAATTTACTCACCAGCTCCAGTGCTGCAAACAAACAAACAAATGCTCTACTAAGTTGAAAATTACATTTGAACTGGGAGGCAAAATTAATGTTGCTCCAGATTTTACATTTAGTA